TTACAGACGTTTATTCTATTCACACTATTTTTACAAGGTTGTCTTCCAACTAGTCATGCTGAGTGATGTCTAATAGCAGCTGGCCAAATTACAATCGAGTGGTGGGTGGGTCACAGTCAAGTACAAATAAGCCATTCACTGCCAAAGAACAAATATAATCATTCTTTCCGATCAAGTACTTTAACCTCCCCTCTTGAATCAAATGACATACCGGGTAACCAAAAGACTTAAGACATCACCTACTTCCTATAACACACAACACCATTCTCACATAATTGTTCATACATGTATACATTGTCACAGCAAAATCAATTACATAAATTTACCAATGGCTCCAGCAAATCATCTGTCCATATTAACTATAGCCTCTTTTGTAATCCCTCTAATACTTATATTTTGTGTTTCAATTACATAATGTTAGTCCAAAAATGTCAGCTTCTATTATTTGAACACAATCCTATTATCAAGATCACGTTTGTATTGCGCTGGTCCCGCTAACTCTGGTTAGATATTTGATTGCAACGGTTGTAGATATTGTAATACAACAATGTACTATTGTTGGAGTATGAATTCCACTCCCAACATATGGTTATTACGCTATTTATATATTTTGACAACCTATCTGTCGTTCTACTACATTTGGTCAGACTACATCAGTGCCTCGAACTAACCAATCGTGGAAGCGAAGCATAGTTCCATCCGCCATTTTGTATTTGAATTTGATAGCATTCATAATTATTTGGATTGTTAGAAATAGACAAATAGACATATTTGTAAAGTCTTGATGCATGCATTGTTTGTTATGGATGCCTTATTGAAAACGCACTGTGATCCTCAGGGTTTGGAGAGAAACTAAAACGGTATTTCAAAACACCATTTCAGAATGTTTAAAGGACGGCAGTATGCATAAGGGTTGACCTGGACGCGACTTAGTAATTACCGCCATTGACTCATTCGATACCTTCCAATCACCAAAAAATACCTAATTAAAGCTTGGTGACGTCTCAGTTTGTACTCGTTGATCTGCGTAACAGTCAAAGTCGCCATCTTTGTTTATATGAGACCAATATATCTCGCGCATGCGTTGCGCGACGACCACCGCCCTTTAATTTAAATATACTAAGAACTAACTTAAGTAATTATTTGTTTCTGTATTAATGATTTATTTTTAAATTCTTGTGCAGATAAAACGAATATTTGCATAAATAGTTGCATACCGTCCTTCTAGTTTTAGAAAATGAATTCCATCTCGCCCTCCAGCCTCGAACAGTGTGGCGTCTGTAATACCGAGGCAAACAAACTATGTAAGATTGCCTGACTACCGGTTTTTCGCATGATCATCGATAAATATTGTTACTGGCCGGCGAAGTGATATTAGCTGACGAATATATTTTCCATTATTACTACGTTGGTAGGCACTGAGAAACCTAGCAATAGAAAAGCAGCTGAGGTAATCCACGATATCGGCCTAGCCTATACCAGTAAAAATATTACATATCCATTAGTGAGCACTTAATTCCACACAGGGAATATATCTGTCTTTATGTAGTAGCATTTCACCGATTTTATGAGTTGCTTCAACCGATAGTTCAAACTCCACCGAATTGTTGTGTAGCGGCGCTTTCGAACTCCGTAACCACAAACTACTAGTATACGAGAATTGTATACTACGAGTGTTACTAGCATCAAGCAGGACGCAACGCGAAGACTCTATTATAAAAGAAAAACACAATGATGCAATATAATTATGTCTCTTTTATTAACTATATGTCGAGAGCACTACATGTGGATACTTTCACCACGTTTGACGTACTGTTTTACTAACTCGGGGCTGGTTTCACAAAATTTAAGCAAATATGACGAATAAATTACATACTACCAGAAACTGCAGTATTAATATATTCAAAATAATATGATCTAATATGGTCGACGAGACATAATCGAGAAGGCTAAATATTATAGGCGTTTAAAGTACATAGCATCGAAGAAAGACATTCGAGTTGTCGTAGATGATTTATCGCCATCATTGAAACTAAAACCGGTAGCGGAACATTTCTATCCAAGGAAAGCGGACCTGCAAACAGAGAGTAACATGGTGTTAAAACATAACTAAGAAATATGGCTGATTTCAATTGCGAGTCTATATTCACGATTATGACAAACGCTATCCTCGAAATCCGTGATCAGTTAACTGACAACTTTTATATATACGTACGCTGGTTGGCAGACCGAAAAGGTTTCACACTCACAAAACATGTGTTTATCCGGCAGCCAGCAAACTATGGAGAGATATAGACGATATTAAAAAAAAACATTACAATAAGTGCGCACATCTATTGGAAGGAGATCGTGACGAGGATGATAAGAAAATATTTACGCATTTAAAGTAGTATAGCATTTTTATTTTAATTGATGGATTGCGTAGAAACATTATTGATAGAAGGCAAGGGATATTTTCGTAAGCTGTAATCTATTGTTTATAATAATGTAATTTAAATAAATTAAAACCGTCACGGTAAATTCGTAGACATTGACAAGGTGTAAAATGCAATCAGGTATTTTATTCGTTCGTAATTTGTACAAAGATATTATTTTTTGTAAGAGCGTTTAAAACATTTTCCAAATTAAATGTTGTAATTCGTACACAAATTATCAAAAATATTATAAAAATGTAAATAGGAATTTGTTTTATCTATAAAGTGTAAAACCTATTTTTTACTGTAAATGAAACTGTCATTTTATTTCCCGTAAAAACGTGAAATGCCGTTTTTATTTCTTGTAACCTGTACCAGCTACCCCCTTGCCTCCTTGATATATCGTGCATTGTGAAAGAATGTGTGGTACATGTATTATTGTAATATTGTAGAGAACTCAGACCATTATGAGGCTTTAAAGATTCTCGTTTATTGAATACCCACTACGACAGTGCGGTGCTATCGTCTATGTTGGCTGGTTTTACGTCAACAATTCAAAAGGTGTACCAAGCATATACACACGGGAGTATCTGATACGTGGAATAAAAAACAGACAACAAACAAGCTGCTCTCTGATTGGTCTTGGCGAGATAGAATACATATGTATGATGATTACATATGCAAATAATCATAAAATGACGTCTCATAACTTCTTCAAATAATGCCTGTTACGAGACAGATTTATTTTGTGTCAATTTACTATTAAATACTAACATATAATAGGTTCGTGCTCGTGTCAAGGAAAACCCTCTCTTGTAAATTGCAAGAACAATTTGACAATAGTTGTTTTAGTTATAAATGAAAAATGGATTCCGAAATTGTTTTTTCTTATGTTGGTGGCAACCCTATTCTCCTTCCCACAGTTCTTTGCGGTTAAATCACCTAAAGTGTCTCTGCCACCACACACCGCCATTTTGTGGTGAAACACCACAAGACTTTTACTACGCTAATTATTTGCGTATTTTTTGTTATTAAAGGGCTCTAGTGTTGATTTATACCTACTGATAAACAAGTTTTGAAATATTTTATCGATAGCTGATAATGATTTTCTTCGTAAACGCACTGTAAAGGGGGAAATAGTTATGATTTTCAAAAGAAAATAATTTTATCGCGGATTAACGGTTACTAAGGTGTTATTCGGTTCATCAAGTTGACCGCCCTGTCGATCGCCAGGCGAAAAATATAAACAAACGAAAGAACTTCGTGGTGTTGACAGCCAGCTCGTCCTATTGCCATTCCGGTAAAAAAAAATGAGCTTTTCGCTTTGAAAACAGACAGAATCTACAAACAACTCGTACGCTTCCATCCGTTCGGGTTCGAAAATCGAACACCTGCATTGCAATGTTTTGTTGGGCGTCTTTGAAAGTAGTGCCACTGTGACGCATCGACCAATCAACGACGAGCATGAGATCGCGTGGTGGCAGATACATATTGGCAGAAATAAAACTCTGCCTGGAAGATAGGGACAACCCCTCCAAAGTAAATTACGAATTTTTAAGTAACGCTGCTAACTAACAAACAAACTAATCAACCAACTCTACCGAAACATAACCTCCGTGGCGGAGGTAATTATACCTGACTATATTAAAATATAATTAATATGAGAAACAGAAATGACTGACTAGGGATTTAGTTTTAAATTAACATGACACTCGAGTAAAAAATATGATAATTATGGATAATTAATTTCAGATGAAGTTACGTTAACAAATGCGTAATATGATATATTTTTTTAAAATTAAAATTAACATCAGAGACGGTACTGAATGACGAGTGTTTTGCTTTGAATTGACACTCGAGCGACAATATATCAGGTCAAATGTATCTAGACAAAATTATGGGAAACCATAGTGCGCATAATGTGTTATAGCTAGTGAAATGAATTATATAATTGTTGCAAAACACCCATAATTATTAAAGCGAGAGGGTCTTCACCTGCGCACGCGCGGGAAGTCAGTCCAAAGCGACGATAACAACACACGCTAAAACGCAAAGGCTCATAGGTGGACGCCTGTTTGTAATTAATGACACGCTATGACAATCTGGCGCATGCGCAGGAGACGACTCCCCCGCTTTAAGCACCAGTGGAATTTTTATTCACTATACACGCACTCATCTAAGAAGGCGGAGTATTTAGTGTACGTCGGTTATGAAAACACACTAACATAAGTATAATGATTAGATATATATCCAAACATAAACACAGCTGCCGTATATTATACCTTTAGTAAAGCTGTGTAATATCTATAATTTTGACTACTATATAAACATCGCTCATAACCACAAAAACAACATTGGCCAAACGACTGTTCACGATTGATCGTACAAGTGAATTTAAGCCCTTTGAAAAACGTTGTTGTGCATGGCAATAGACTACTAAAGGTTTCTGCTGCGTGTGATTGCGTTTTGTACTATATTTTATTATTGCACGCATTATTGCGACCGAAAAAGTACATTTTAAGGCGCACTGAGGTACACATACCACGTGTCACAGAAACATGCGAGTATTTGGTTTTGTCAAAGATACATAATCGTTTGGTAGAGTCTTAAAGAAAAAAAAATAGATGACAAACATCATTAATTATTTCAATAAATCTGAAACAGATACTTTCGATAATTATTGATGAAAAATGAAGCCAAATGAATTCATATTAGGTACAAATGCAAATGAACAATTTTGGACAAAACAAACAAAACATGATTTTATTTGACATTAATTTTAAATTCTCAGGAGCTTCAGTTATAGCACTTACAAAACATATCTAACATGTAGAATATATCATCATTGTATTATTCCTAATTACTAAGCATTGTATTATTCAAGTCAAACACAGTGGAATGTGTGACGTGGGTTCATTGCGACTAACAAAACCAATCTTCTCGATAACGTCATTTTCACCTGTACATAAATATTCTATTTTTTTCATTCTAGAAACCTGAGCCAATGTCTGATACTAATTAATATGTATAAGTTAATTACATATTGTGTTCTTAAATAACAATCAAAACAATGAAATGTCTTCGCAAACCATAAATTGTATGCATATATGCATAGTGTAGGTTGTCAAAACAATAACATTTTCTCATTTGTTGCTGTTTAGACCAAATTTTCATTTGTTGCACATAAGTAAAGTTATCAACAATTCTACGCAATAAAATATTTTAATCACAAATAACTCTTAAATGTGGGTTTCATCTTTAACCAAGCTAAGTTTGAAAACAATTGCCTGCTTTGTGTGAAACAGACAGTTTGTTGGTTGTGTAGATATATAACAAATTTGAATAGTTGAAGGCAAACAACAGAATGCTAAAACAAGCTATCATGCCAGTCCAGGACTAAACATTATTATGACAATACTTAATACTTACAGCTTAACTCTTTTTTAAACATTGGTCTAGACGTCTCTTTTGCAGTGTTGTCGATGGATGCTGCATCATTGCACTGCGCCATTATCACAAGCATGGCAACCAACATAACTGCGAATAATTTTGTGGACATGGTTGATTCTGAAATAAAAACAAAAATATGTACTACATGAGTATTTAATAACTATGAACAGTAATTATTTGAGAATGCATTGCACTATAGGAAATTAAAAAATAGAATCTTACCTCTCGGTGCCACAAAGGTAGAATGATAAGACAATCGTATCGTCGTGGGTTGTTTAATCGTGTGGTGAAATATGCTAAGAATACATTGGGGTTTTATAGCAATGTCTCGACAATTAATTTTCCCTTAACAATTATTTGTTGAAATATTTACTCAAACTTTAGATCACATTACCCGATCTCACAAGCCACTGAATGTAAGATTTTTGTTACTACTTTTGAGAACAAAATTCCTGGTAAATAAACTATACCGCAAATATCGTTTATTCGTTTTAAATGTAATTGTACGTGGTGAAAGTCGAACTAATATTATGGCTAATATTTTTTATCATCCTTAATTTGTCAAAAATAAAACCACCACCGGGCAATTTATCGCTTGTAACTGTTTGTATCATGACGCGTGTTCTAATGACAACAATTCTCTCAATTTATAATTTTACAACACTATCATTAGAACGTCAGTCTGGATTATATTTACTTGCAAACTCAATAAATAATTGGTTGGCTATAGATGAATTGTTATTTTCTTTCTACCATTAACACAAATTTGTGAAATTGTCCAGTTGGTAATAGTTGATTTTTTTTTTTACGTTTAACATAAATTCGTGAAATTGTCCAGTTGGTAATAGCTGATTTTTTTTATTTCTTTTTACGTTTAACAATAAAATAACAATTGTCTGCAAACTTAATTGAAAACTTGACAATGTTATAATTCACCGACAATCTATTACACTAGGTGGGCCATACAATTAGTATATACAAAGAAAAATCATTGTAATTAATTTCATTCGAAGTGACAAAATTGCGATTACTTCGGAAATAGTTTTGAAAGTTGGCTATTATTCTTCTACATTCTAGACACCTGGAAGCAATTAATCATATATTGAAAATAAAGTAGTTGCGCATGTTAACTTAATACATTTACCCGAGGCGTTTATTTTCTTTTATATATAGTGTTCAGTGAGATAGTATTTATCATTTATCGATGACTAAAGAATCAAGGTATACCATGGAAACAGATGTCGAAATAGTACTAAAAAATATTTTAGTAAGCCATTATGAAAGATTGGATTTAAAAAATATATATATTACGGAATCCATTTGATATGCATAAATCTGATAGCAATAGGTAGACAGACGCAAATGACAAAGTCCTGTTGAGAGCGACAGAACATCTATACTTGTTTTTGAACTGTTAAACTGTAAACCTTGGGAGCGCTTACATGTTTTTCATTGAAACACACTATACTACCGTTGTAATTAAAAACATATGTATTATATTCTAAAATACTTGTATTTTCTATCAAAACAGTAGTCTTTTATTTTTTTTTTAAAAAAAGTGTTTTCTAAAGTTATTGAAACATTTTTTGATGATAATTGATCACATTGTATACATACCAAAATACAGTTTTGCAAACTAAAACACTGGGTGTTTTACGGGAACATAAATGTGTCATTGAAGTGATTATTGGTAGGATATTTATGAACAAATGCATCCAACTTCATTCAAACAGAATTTACAAAATTGAGTTAAAAGTCTGGGGATTCATAAGTAAACATAATGATATATATGCCAACTAGACAATCACCATAGGTGAGGTAATTCAACGCATAATGAGATTAGTCAGAAAACAATTTTATTTTTTAACACCAAGTTGTGGAAGAATTAATTGTATGTACAATTACATGGCCTTACTAATCTAAGTACAACTAGAAATTGAGACACATAGTGAATTAAGTACCTCGTGGCCTAACGGGTTTTAATACTCCATTTACACCTGAACACTTTCACATGTGATTTTGAGATACTTTTCGCAAACGACGGTGTTCACGATGAACACTGTCATATGTTGCGTGTTCAGGTAACTGGTAGCTCATGTCGTGCGTACACTCATTCAATGGTTGAATTATACTATCGGGAGTATGTGGACAGGTGGCATATTCGTTACGCCATTATTTTTGTATGTGCTGGATGACTGAGCTTATGCATTTACAGGATAAAAAAAGTTTATACTGCATAACGCATATGCCGACATCCCCCAGTGTAACCAAATTAATTCATAGAAATGTTGCTGAATTTAACAGGAAAATGCAGTTCAATTCGTGTTAATGGTATGTGGTCACATTCTCGTTTTCTCATTACATGTGCGTTAGTATAAACAACAATAATATTTTACATCTCATATTTCTGATTCAAATATCGCATTGCTTGAAACAATAATGATAATTAATTTAACATTTCTCGCCGGATTTTGATAATTTTATACTTTTCAGAAAGATCGACGCGGACATTGCTAATATTAGGATTTAATTTTATTCTGTTAGTATTGGTTATTGTTGGTTCAGCGCCTCGTCCTCTATCCCAGAAGAACTCTTGTTAGATAAAAATAGTTTTAAGATATCACACTTGGTGGTGAAAAGCAATCAAACCATTGACGGAAAAAAAGATGAATGTTGTGCATATATGCAGATTCGATTCGAGGACTGAGTGTGAATGGTTTCTTAGGAATATAATATGCCCCGAGAGACTGCAATCGAGACAACAATACCACATCGGAAGAGATTGGGCACTGTTCTTTATGCCAGGGAGGAAAGAGTTTAAAGAAATAGACCATTTTCCTTTCACTGCGAGAATCACGCGTTATGCGTGAAATCGAACGTAAAAACAGGACAAACAAAGGTCATAGCGTCGTAGTGGCGTCACACATCGCGAGGGATTCGACAAACGCGAAAGTATTTTGGGGGACATTTCCAATGTGCTGTACACATTTGATGATAGACAATTTCGATTAAGTGAGGGTATTCGGAAACAATATTCCTCTGTCGAAGATCGGCCGGTCGATGTGAGCTACGAAATAAAGAAATTCGAGTTGAAAATCAAATCGTTCGATTTTTACAGCAGACGTTCGACGCGCGTCTTTCATGCATCTCGCGAGATCTCGCAATTGTACGGAAAATCACCTATTATTGTTAGTTTCAGTTCATTACTCATCTGTTTTGAAGTGTCAATGTTTACAATTATTTGGTTTTGCATCTACAGTTTCACGAAAGGTTTTAATTTCAGTAAACACACTGATTCAGCTGCACATAAGTCAAAGACTCTTCTTCATGCTATGATTTTTTCACAATAATTATATATGTCTGCGTTTTAAATGTTATTCTTGAACTTAACTCATTAATGTTACGATTACTGTACAATTTATAGTGTAAAGTGCTTGATCGTGTAACGCATATATACACGTCACATAGATGCACACATAGTAAAATAACACGTTCTTCGCCATTGTAAGCGAGATTCACTGTATAATTATTAAATAAATTGAACTTAATTAAAGATCAATTCATCATGGCTCTTCCACTGGTCGCAATCTCAAACAAGTGAACGCTGTGAGAAGCGTATTTACGAAATAACACTACATTAAGCATTATTTTTAATTGCGAAGAACAAGATTACATATAGGGTGTTATCAATTTCCATAAAATTCACTATTTTGAGGAAAAAAACTCGAAAATGCATCATCAGCAATTATTACCCTAACTAACCGACATGTGTTCAAACTTTACGTACGATACAGATGCATTACACATGGGCGAAATCTGAAAACAGTATCTCGTAAGGAAATATAACTGCAGTTTGTGTGTGTATACGACTCTTGTCCGAGCGGACCATATGTGTGATTTTACGCTGAGATTAGCCGAGACGTATAGATACCCATACAAATACAAAGTAACTGCTGAGCTGCGTCCTCCTTTGGGAGTCTTTACATAATTAACCCGACTTAGAATGAAGTGGGTTGATAATAGCGGCAATAACAGATAAGTTCTCCCGATGGGATGACTAAACTCACACAGCGACACTCATCTGCCGCGTATGTCATCGGCGATTTATCAACTCCCGATGTCCCATATGAATTCTTTCAGCAAGTTCATACCAGTGACCACTCAGTGGAAAAGATAGTTCGATCACTGAACGTCATTATATCGAAGGAAGGGAGTTTCATCAATTTAATTTTATTGACAACTATTCCAATCATAGTTAAATTAGGTTGTAAAATGAAAACGATTAAAATTGTGCATGGGTGAATGCGCCCTGGAAATATACGTCACTCATATTTTAATCTCAAGTAATTATTATTGACGCGCACACTATAAGATTGTAGTTATAGTTGACATGTGTCGTGCTCCCATTAGCAGATAGTAATTCTTAATTCGCGGTATGTGATACGTAAAAACACGTTTATTCATGTGACCGATGATGTTGATCTATTGTGTGTATGTAGATTTGTAAACAACCACAGTTTTTGATATGCAGATTAGCAAGAGTTTCACTGCAATGCACCCTTCCAATGACAACACTATGACATAGCAGTGTATGCATTTCTTTTGCATTTTAGTGGATTTTCGTTTTTATAACCCGACTTATCAACTGCTCGCGGTCGTCGGAAAACCTTCCTTAAGGGCACGTGATATTATGTGCATGCGCAGTAGATTCTAAAGACAAAAGTTTTGTACGGGTGTTTTGAAGTGAAAATGTTTCTCAGAAATTCATCTACTAGAAGCTTATGCATACCATCGACATTTGATTTAATTTAATTCAATAATTATTTAATAGTACTCAATACAATAAGTAATTTCAGACATGGTCCCATTCCTTCAGTTTATTCTCTAAATAAATAGCCCCACACCAGCGCGGGGTATATGGGTAGAATCATCTATTTCATTGGTCAAATGCTATATAATGTACGAAAGGTAGGCGTTTAAATATTTGTTTTCAAAGAAACAGGTTTGAAGACCATATTTCGTTCAAGAAAGTAACTTAAGTGGTTGTTTGTCTTGACTATGGAAAACATACAAACATTAGAAAATGTTTCCCGTAATTATAGTTTTATCACTTTATTTATTTAGAAACTGCTCTATGCCGCTTTAAACTTTAATTTTGTGTTCGCATTGTATCTTTGGAAAAGAACATTCGTGCCATATGTTCTAGATTGAAAAAATACAAGACATAGTCGGATTATTATTTTTCTTGCAGTTCGCAATTAATTTCCAGCAAAACAT